AAAAAAAAAAAAAAAAAAAAAAAAACGTTGCAGCGGCCGCGATACCAACAGAATATTATTATACTAATAGAATACTGCAGGTATACCTATAATAGATATTATTTGACTCGACTAACCGTCCGAAAACTAGTTATGCAAATCGATAATAATAATATAATATTTCGCTAATAATATTTATAATAAATACCCAGGTATACGATACAAAATGTGGTGGTTTTTTTTTCCTCCGCTATTTCGATTATAATATAAATCGTTATTTATGTGTAGATAAATTATTTAATTAAAAAGACGAAGAGAGCGGAAAAATAAAACGGTACAAATTATCGGTTAACTACGTCTATAATATGCATATATACATAGGTAATAATAGTGATACGCTATAATACCGGACGAAATAATATGAAAAAAAAAAAAAAAAAAAAAATATATATTTATATTACCTGTTTTTTTACCGATACGATATTTGAATTTGTGCGATGTAAAAACGCGTTCGCTGGATTTGTTGTGTATTAATTTTTTTTTCGTCGACGACAACGGCGAAAATAATATTATTATCGTTATCAGCGAGCGTCGACGGAACGAAAAACTCGGGAGGACTCGGGCGACTTGACGACGAAACGCGCGCACTCGCTGACCGCAGATTTCCTTATGGTAAAAAAAAAAAAATCATCGTTTTCCCGTCGGCCGCCCGTCCATCACGTAGGCCCCCATACGGAGAACCCCGCGGGGTTATCAATTGAGTTATTAAAAATTTCGATTGCCCCGCGTTCTTTCTCTCTCGCTCTCTCACCGTCTCTCCGCTCGTATAAAACATTTACGAGGAGGGGGCGGTCGGGGAAACGATAATGGGATACGATAATAATGTATTCCGGGGTTTGGTTTTTTTTTTTTTTTTGTTCTTTTTTAATTATGCGCCGGCCGTCTCGATTGAGATATCAACTGCGGCGCGCGCGATAGCCCGGGACAATACGTACACATCAAACGCTTTCGTATGGTACAGCGGTATATAAATATTATTAGACACTATTATTATTGTTATTATTATATCATTACCATTATCCGTATAAATAATAATTTACGTCCGCCCCGCATACGACGACGATGATGGTCCGCGTGCCAGCGACATTTCGAAATTCGATAGTCCCGCAGGGGACACGCCGTAGTGTTTGGAGGGGAAATTATATTGAAAAAAAAAAAAAAAAATATCCGACGTTATATTATAATATAGCGTTAAAACGTCCGACCGTCGGATTCTCGTCTTGGACGTTTCTATATTATTATTATAACGTACTGCAGTTATCTGTCCGCGGAGACGAGATAATACCGTGTACAAAAAAAAAAAAAACCACGATTGCATCGTCGCGGTATTTTACGACGCGATTACGGAGCGACGGCAACGACAACGGTCGTGTACTCGAAAATAATATCGTTCGAAAAATAAAAAACAAACCGTTCGTGTGTTTTTACGACGCGGCAAAATGGAAAACAAGACGAGAAACGAAACTGCACATACAGGTGGGCACACGTTTTTCGCGCGCGAAATTACCGAGAGGACGCGAAACCGCCCGCAGTGTGAATACAAGCGCAAGGGGAAGAAAACGAGAAAATTTATCAACTCGCGTAAATATTCACTGGAAAATTACGAGATTATCGCAACGTCGTTATCGCGTTTAAATTCACCCCTCCCCTCACTAACGAGTTATTTGTTTGCAAAGCTTTGGGAGGGGTTGATTTAATTTTTATTCTATACTTATCAAAAACTATTGGGTACTAACGCTATCAGGGGAAAAATAATAATAACAGTAATATTTGCAACAATAATATGCAATAAATTGTATGTTATAATCAATTTTTACAATATTGCAGTGTCCCCTAAAAGCTGAGCTTGTGCCAAGGGAGTCATTCTTATCGATTTCAAAAATACATAAAAGCAGTAAAATCAAAAGAAACTATTAATCTATAATATTGTATAATAATATTGAGAGAAAAATCTAACTATAAATGACACCAATCAATAGATTTGTATGATAAACTAAAATTTGAATATTAGATAAATAAAGGTGTTTCACACAACAATTTAAACGACTCGAGCCTTTTAAAGTGATCAAATATTCATGTTTGACAAATGACATAAACTATACTATACTAATCCCGCGTCAAAAACATTATTTTTTTAACACTGCGTGTCGTCCCGAGCAAAACGGTTTTCGAATATCATTACGCGGGTAATGATATTATTACCTACTAAAAATAATTAAATTATTCGAAATATTTCGAAAACGCGTCGTGACGTTCGACTCACACAGAGAAAAAAAAAAAAAACTTCTTAGGTTGTTTTAAATGTATACAATATTAAGTTCCGACTGGAGAGTAGACGATTCGCTTATTTATAATAGAAAGGAAATACATTACGATATGTGTATAAATATATATTACAATATTATTAAAATGTATCGTACCGGAGTTCGGGTCGTGTATCGAATCTCAGCGCCACTTTATAAATAAGCACTCGGAGTCCGGGAGGGGGGGGACTAAAAAGAAATAACAGTTCTAATTTTATCGGATACAAACGCGAAATTAAAATTCCGCGCTAATTAATTAACGTACCTATACATGTTTTTATCATTTCAGTTTTTTTTTTTTTTTTTTTACATGCACGATGTGAAATCGACATAAAAATTTAAAAAACTACGATATTACGTGCGACCGCGTTTGTATTATTTATTGTGTTCGGGCACGCATCTATAGACGTGGCGCGACAAACTGCACATTGAGCACACGTGTACGGGCGGCGCTATATTCGCGAATAATGCGAATGCATTTTTGACAAGCGCAATTATTATTATTGTTAGTTTCGTATTTCTCTAAACGTATATAATAGAATCGTGTATAACAATATAAACGCACAACGCGTATCGATAATATCCGTGCGTGCCAGCTATTGCAGAATTTTGTAAGATAAAAAGACGGGACATACTTTGCACGTGGGTGCCACCACTGTTGTAGGTGGAAAGTTGGGAAGGTAGGATACAGATGGGAATTTAATGCATATCTGTAATCAATGATAATAAAGATATTGATTGTTTAAAAAAGATTAAAATAATAAAAAATTAATAATAACAAAACCTAAATAAAAACGATTGCCACTGACAACCTTATTTTTCAATCTTGTTTAACCTAAAGAACCAGATTTTCCTCATTATCTAAAATTTTAATGATAATTTCAAAAAACGATCTAATGAAGGGTTTATGATAACATCCCCGTCAAACATTTCTCGGTTCGATTAATTTTTCCGGGGAACGTTCTTCCGTCCAATTAGCCTCAAACAAACAAACCTATAAACAATAAATAAGTGAATTTTAACAAATTGTATAATAAAGATATAGTTATTATAAGGTTAGTTAATCTGTAAATTTTTTTTTTCTTAAACCAAAATAAAAGTTTATTATCTTTTGATATCATTGTATGAGTGAGTCGCGGTCGGTTCAGCTGTATTTCAGCGAAAACATATTATCTATAACAATATCGAAATAATTTAGATAAAAGCAGTGGAGGAGGTGCATACTAGTGTAATGGTACTTTGTTATCAACAGTCTTTCGACAACCGTTGTTCTTATAATAATATATTGGTCTGCTGATAATTTTATTCGGTCTTGTGTATTAAATATTTTATTATAATTTTATTTTTTAGTTTTATTTATTTATTTTTATTTCTAAATCTCAATTATTTATTATGGTATTAGAATACGTAAAAAGTGAAATACTGGCAGTTTTAGTTTAAGGAAAAAAGAGGTCTGAGTTTAATTGGACGGGGAAACGTCCGACGGGGAAATTAATCGGATGGGGAAATGTCCGACGGGAAAACGCGACAGGGATATATCTGACGGGGAAACAGCGACGGGAATGTGACCTGCTACCTAAAAAAGTACCACCCAAAAAACATTTCCTTTCAGAAAAGGTGCTATACTTGATAATTGGAGTAAGCTTTCAGGTAGAAAAAATGTTCACATAAAAAATATATACAAATAATAATAAAAAAAAAATTATCATTATAAAACTAGTATATCTCTCACTACACTCAGTATCTAAAAGAAAAAAAAAATTTTGTTTAAGATTTAAACTAACTTTAAATTATCCGTATACATTTTCCGATAACTATACAACCCTCTCGGCGATACGACAAAATGTTTGAAACATTCGAATCTTGGCGTGAACTCGACTTCACGTTTTCAGATTTAAATCGGCATTATATAAATTTGAAAAAAAAAAAATGAAAAAAGGCCGATACTACTGATGGGCGTGTTACCGATTTGGGAGGGAAGTCGGAAAACGGGGTACATACAAAGTAATTGAATTTCTATCTGTACGCCGCGATAGACTATCCATATATTGTAAACGAAAAGCGATTCTTGAGTAGACGGAGACAACACGAAAATCAACATAAATTATCCAATAAATTGCCGGGTTTTCCCGTTCGATTAGAAATCTACAAAGAAAATTGTAAAAAAAAGATTACTTCTTTGACGACCCCGACCGGGTCAAAAGTGCTACAAAAAATCGATGCGATATATCCGGAAGACATTTTATTCGCAGGCATATAACAAAACCAATACGTTCCTTGCCTATAGCTCGGAATCCCGAAATTTGTATTGGTATGTATAGACGTACAATAAAATATTTTACGAAGTTTTTCGTGTTGTTATTGTTTTCAAAATTCGTATATTTTGTCGAATCGATTTTTTTTTCAGAAAAAGTCACGATCGGCGTCAAGTAGGTATATACGACATAAAAATGTAGCACTTTAAAACATATCATTATCATTTTATTTTTTTGCTAACCGTTCGAGGTCAACTTGTCACGTTACAAATAATATAACGTAAAGAAACGCCCACTATATGTATAAGTACGTATATACAATATAATGTAATGTAAAGGTATAATACGAAATTTCATGCGACCCCGTATTGTATAATTATTTTTCGAATGACTTCGCAGTTAACATTTTTTCATGTGTACATGTGTAGAGTACTATACCTACGCTATTTTTTTTTTCACTGTAGTTATGTCAAGAGAGAAATCGATATATTTTAGAAAATCGTTTATTCGATCATCCAATAGGAGGCGTTATTTACGAATTCCGACGTCTAATATTATTTTACCGCAGAAATATAATATAATTATAAAATTTTAACGACGTCGTAATAGAAAAGACGTGTCGACAATCTGCAACAGTCCCGCACATATTACATGTATACATACACACGCGTCTGATTTATAACTAACCGTGAGTATAAAAATACTATTATTACGCATCTATATTATAGTCACTGCTGATTGGTCGGCGATACGACCGGCTCGTTAAAAACCCGTTGATAATAATAATAACAATAACAATTTTAATTCAAAAGGCGTACAATAGGGGTGTTGGTTTTGTGAAACGTGTTTTGAAACGCCGAGACGATTTTTGAGAAAAATTCAATTAAAAACAAAAAATTCTTTTGAAATATAATAAACAGCTCGAAAATCACCCGGATGTTATGAACATGTTTACCACGTCTTGAAAATAATAATTGTCTAATTGTATTCCGTACAAATATCAAATATCTATACGGTTATTACAACAAAATCTAAAATAATTAACCCGTTATTTCCGTAAAATAGTCAGTTGTTTTCCCAATTATTATGGCCAACTAAGTAAAATTTGTTTTTATACACTTGAAGTATATCTATATTCGGTTTCTTACACTTGAACATCAGAATATAATTTCCGGTAGAATAGTTGTTTAAAGATAAAAAAGTAAAACCACAGCTAGTAATAGTGACGGATATTAGGCGTGACTAAGGGCGCACCTGACTTTTTAATGGATCTACTGGAACGATAAGTTTTAAAAAGGCAATAGAAACCCGGTATTATATTTCCATGTATAATAGCCAATGGGTGGGTCGTTGGTTCGTCGGTAGATATGACTGGGTACAGAAAAATATCTGACTTCGTACAAACTACGAAGTAGTATTATAACGTTTTAATAAAAGCGATATTAATAAAATTTCGTAGCTTCTTCTTAGTACAAAGCTATAGGGACATACTTAGCACGTGGGTACCGTTAAAGGTAAGAAGTTGGGAAGATATAGTAGAGGAGAAAAAATGTAGTGTATAAAACGATTATGAGCGGAGTTCGGTTAATAATGTTGCTTTGTAAACAATATATATTATATATGTTATATTATGGTACAATAATGTTACAAAATATTCTCTTTAATAATATTTGTTCAATATTGCACCTATTTTCCCGTTTTTCCTACGTTTTTTCCGCGTTTTTCCCATTTAATGGAAAAACTCATGAGAAAATCGAAAAATTACTTTCCCAGTAGATTTCCTTTTTGGAAAAGTGCTATCGTTGTACCGTTGTTATCTAAAGTTGTCCACTGAAAAAAAAAAAATTCGCACCACCGTAAAACCAATATACATTTCTCGCTCCACTCAGAATCTAATATCATCTGTCTTCAATCCGACCGATTTTTCTCCCGTGAATTATTTATCGTCGCGAAAACCGATTGTACGTCATGGTTTATCGCAGACGAGCCTCAGCCGTCGAAAGTCTCAGCCTGACAACCGATACGGAGTATCCATTGCGCGCATATTGTTGTATCGTTACGAGTAAAAAACCAATACCGTCCCTCGATACGTTCAGAATCTGAAATCGTGTTGTTTTCATTACCGCGAGAGTGATTATTGTGTACACGCCCGATTTACACTATGCATCAGAAACTAGATATATATTTTTTTATTATGATATACCAGAAACGCAGATAAAAACGATCGTCAACACGGTTTGTATAAAATGCATTAGGTCATATATACGTTTCCATTGATTGTGGTTTTTTTTTTTTTCTTATATGTACATACCGTATATATATTAACACTGCAGACAGATACCCGAGACGATAACCGTATACGCATACGCGCTACACGGTGGCGTCGTCGGTTTACCGAAACAATTAACCGACTAATGAATTTATAACGGGTAACGGACGTGCGTGATGGCACGAGTATTTATGTGTGACGAAGACTACAAGGATCGCTGCATCACGACGACGACGACGACGACGTCTTGTTAGCGAGACCGACAAAACAAGAGAATATAAAACGACGAAAACGTGAAAACGCGCGGTTAATATTATACACGCATTGTTGTGTACACCGATCTTTCCCAATTATTGTAATATGGAAACAACGAGAAAGACCACCTATTATTACACTGCTCGACGTATCGCCGAACAGACGAAATTGTCTACCGTCATGAATCACCCCTGAAATCGATATCGGAACGAGATTTCGGGCGGTAATTTTTGTTTACAGAAGCAAAAAAAAGAAAGAAAATAGAAATGTTCACGTCGTGGTAAAACACAGTTAAACCGGCCGTTTCCCCCTACGCTGAAATTAAAATATAATAACAATAATAACAATAATATTAATTATAAAAATTAGATGCGATTTAGTATTTCTGCAATTTATTTGTTTTCCCGTTTTCTGTCTATAATCAGATTTCCTATCGGAAATCTCGTTTCAATGAAAATGTTATACAAGAGCGCTTTTCTGTAAAATTTTAAATTTTGTTGAATGCATCGTGAAGGTGGTGTTTTTAATTTTCCGAACAGTTTTCTTAATAATCGGGAAATAACGTTTATAGGAAAACGGAAAAACTTACGACAATAAAAATTTCAATAAATCCGACTAAAAATAATCGCACTGATCTGAAATTTTTTACAGAATATCAATAATTTTAGATAATTTATTATATCTAATATATGATCTTAATATATATATATATATATTACCAGAAATTTATTTACAGGCATATGAAATTTTCGAGTATTTTTTTTAGTTTTTATTTGGTTTTGTATAAATGACATTTTCGACCGAGGAAAATACTAGTTTCAAACATTTTACAACTAGTCGTCAAAACTACAGGAAAGTATATAAATAATAATATGACGTTATTTCTCGGATTTTGTTTTGTTCAAAAAATCTCCATACACATATAGGCTTATATAGGTACACACATTTCCGTCGAAACCTTTCCAAACACGACTTTGAACGCATACACGACTGTCGGCTGGTGTAGCATGAATTTTTTTTTATTCGTGGACAATTTTCGTTTAAAAATTACACTCTACATATTTGAGTTAGTAAAGACTGTTTAATACTGCCTATGTCTTCTAAACTGTTTTTGTATTTTTTTCGATAGCAATGTTCAACTATATAATATTAAAATGAATGTTTTCTTTTGATGAAGAACAAAAATATACATTATATATATAATTTTAATTGAAATATAACATATAATTGATGATTTACCGTCATAAAAATAAATAGCTCACGAATTAATACTTGATATCTCGCTATAAAATGATTAAACGAAAAAAAATCTATATCGCCATCGTTGTCTTTGAAAAGAAAAAAAACGTCGTTATAATATTGTGTTTTGAACAAGTGTAACGTTAAGTAAGGGGATATGGACATCTTATGGATATGGACTATTTATCATATTATTATAATGAAGGTGACGATAACCACGGCTCGTTATTTAATTAATTAAACGTTTAATATAATACAACGAAATAGTATAATATAGTATAAAGACTGTAGAGATAAAAAGAACATTATATTATTATTCGGTGGAAACGGTATCTTTTGAAGATTACCAATTAAGTTATTATAATATAATACGCTCGTTGGGACTAAAAAAAAAATAATAATAATATAATCCATCCAATAAATGTATACAAGGTTTGATTTTCCGTCACAAACAAAAAAAATAATAATGATAATAATAAAGAGAAACGTATTGTTGCAGCAGCAGCGTATGCACGTTCAGAAAACGACTTTTTTTTTTTTTAAAGACGTGTTTCTCATGCGTGTGTTTTCGTAAGCAAACGGTCACGAACGATGTCTCGTCATTAAAACGTTATTTGTTAACGAAGGAAAAACGGTTAATAAGGCTCCGGGACAAAAATAATAATAATAAAAGAACGTTTCCATATAGATACCTACCTATAATAATATTCAGTTTGTATATTAAAAATCAAAAATTCGCGCGCACGACATCTCGCCAGGCACTTAAACCTTAAGGAAGGTTTACTCGACTCGTCGTGTCGTTTCAAGTCGTGTGAAATACTCTTTTCCGATTGGCTATCGTCTTATCGCGGTAATAGATACATTTCGATCGGGTGTACCAAGAACGGGTTACCACGGTAACAGAATAAAATAACATTAAATTCACCGCCGTTTTGCCGATGATAATCATATAGAGAGCTTTTACCGTGCGTCTCTTACACGTTATCAGTTATTTCCCGCATCATCATCGGAAAAACCCATAATTATAACCCGACCAGTGGCGTATTTAATAGGGGAGACTGATAGGGTGATACCTGTATATCTCCCCATTTGGGCTTCATTTTTTTAAAATTATTATTTAATAAAAACAGGTTAATAATAAACCTGTTTTTAATTCAGATGCATTTATACTCAGTGGTCACCCAGTAGTCGAAATTCGATCACAATATTATAATGTTTCTCCCGGTATATTATTACTGTTTCTTAATAAATTTGTATTTGTTTTAAAGAAATAACATCATAATTGTCCGAGGACTCCGAGGGCCCCTAAGCTCCGGGGCCTCCGGGCACCACCCCACTTTGACCCGTTTTATTCGCTCGAAAAAAAAAATAACGGAAGGAAAAACGACGGCAGCGGCGGCGTTCAGTCATCGGCAAAATATCCGCGGGGAATTTATCGGAAAACTATACGAACAACGACGGCGGGGCGGGCGGGGGCGGACGGATAATAATAAATAGTCGGGCGCGACTGCGGGGCGGTTTCGTTTTTTTTGATAAACAGCTAACACGCGTCAGTGGACATCCGGTTGGACGTTTGCCCGGTTCCGATATTATAACTTCCTATATATATACGCGGGCACATCGGCCGTAATAATAATAATAATAATAATACTATCATAACCCCGCGCCGCCGAGCGTGTATCGGGACAACAATAATAATCGTACCGGCCCGTACATAATAATATACTATACGAGTATACGTGATTTATTTTTATTTAATTTTTGATCATCATCGCTGTATTAGAATAATATATAGTGTACAGAGTATACGGCAATATCGCTATCGTCGCAATATATTATAATATCGTCGTATACGGCCGTTATTATTTATTTATTTGTACGCGCTGTAAACATATTGTTACATAAATATCGTGTACAACGATATTTTCAAGATTCGGGGGGCAGGGGCATTGACGGGGTTTAGGGGAACGAGTCCGTTTCAATAACACGTACATAATGACGGTATTGCATTATATTGTTACGGAGGAAAATAGCCGCCGCCGGGACGAGACGGCGCGAAAGTCGTAAATTTCGAAATTCGACGGTTTATTAGCGCCCATCACCCCCGTCGGTACCACGCGATAAGCCCGTACATTATTATTGTTATTTTGTGCGCGGATATTTCAATAAAACAAATTAGATTGCTGGCTGCACTTGACGAGACACGAATGTTTTCAATCCGTCTTTTAATTCGATGTTCGCGAGCCATTTACGCTACGAAAACTGCGATTATCACTATGTAGCCGCGTAATATGATCGTTAACAATCACGGCCTATGACTACGAGACAGATACAACAGTTATCGCAGTATAAAAGTGCAGTACGGTAAGTTCCATAATATGAGGGCCACGAATCAAACCGCGCGTCTCCAACAAAAACATTGCTAAAATCTACGGTTTTTGTTATAAACACCTGTGATTTCGTACGAGAATCGAACGGTCCAACACACGTTATAATTGTTTTAGCAGTCTATCGTGTATATACCCACAAATAAAATCGCGCGTACGCCGAACATACGTCCGGAAAAATGATAGTCGACGCGACATATCGTAAATTTTCTACTCGCTATTATTTGTTCGCTTTTGTCTAAACAATAATTGACCGTCATAGACGATCGGGGGTATTTTTTTTACACAAGAGTTTTTGGCGAAACGATATTATAATTATAGAGACTGGATTTAGATAATGCAGCTCTTAATATTCACAAAAAGCACTTTAAAAATATTTGAAAAAATAAAAATGAAAGAGAATAGTCTTTCCACTAATAGCTTTAACTTATTAAATTAAATTGTCAAGCACTACAAAAATAATTCACACAAAATGATTTCTTTAAAATAAAATCATATACGCGTATCTATTACACAAAGAAAAATTTCTTTTACTAATCAGTTTTGTAGCGTTAGACAGTAATTTTATTTATAAGTAAAATCCATCAAAGGGGAACTTTTAAACCCATATATTATTTTTGCTTATTTAAATATTTATTAAGTGTTTTTTCAAGGATTTTTTGAAATTTAAAAATGCATTTTTATGGAATTTAAGAGCATATAAATCCGGCCTTTAACTATAATACATATAGGAATAAATCCAATTTCTACATCCAGTGCGAATCCTTCTGACACATTGGCTTTCGGTCGATTTCAACTATTTTCGAGGTAAGCCGGATTAAGGGGACAGGAAAAGCCATGGCTCCCGGACCCACGGGCGTAAATGGTCCGTATAAAATGTTCGTTAAAAATGTGTGCAGTACAAACTTGTGTACACAAAATGTTTATATGTTTTCATGTTCGGTTCCGGGACCTACTGCGCCCTTAGTCCGGCCTCAAATCATGTGCTATATGCGAATTGAACTGACCCGGACAGAAGATGCAGAGAAACCCTGACTATGACGGACTGGAACGGAACCGGTGTGTTCGCTCTTTTATTTTACCCCTACCAATGATTATTCTTTCGTATAGCGATTAAAAAATCTAACAGATGTCCGAATGCTGCATAAATGCATACACGAGCACTATATTGCGAACGAAAAAAAAATGTGTAAGTATATATACCGATGCCTGATGATAATTAAAATGTAATAAATATATATTATTATTTGTGACTCACCGAGCGAAGCCCTGCACGACAGACGGTAGTAGTTATAATATTATACGAAAACAGAACGGTGAAAAATCGTTGTCTTCTTACCTGTAACAAAAAAAAAAAAAAAATTAAAATAATTAGATTAGTTACACTGTCGTTGTATGACGGTCATGAATTATAACGTTCTAGACGGATTTTTTTTTTTTACGAGTATTATATTTATAGATACAAAATATGCATGACTGACGGATGGATGCGATAGGCACCACCATCGTGCAACAGCTATAATCTGAAAGGTGAAACTACGATGAGCAAAGAGCGGCTGCAATAAATCATGCCATTGGTTAAATGATAAAAAAAAAAAAATATATATAATATAATATTTCGAAGACCTTATAATTTATTGGCTATATATTTATACGCATACGAATACAATATTATAAGCGTTATCTGCAACAGTTTCGCGAAATGATAATGAAAAAAAAAACAAAAAAAAAAAATAGTTAGACACGCACGTCAATAATGATAATTTTGCGATTCATTATTTTTTTTTCTCCTCCTGTCGATGATTTATATTATAAATTATAAAACGCACCCGCAGATTTTTCACGTAAATACCCGTAACGACTATACAATGTAATAATAATATTACTATCACGGATATATTTTCCGAATCCCCTTCGAAATATAATAATAATTATTATTGGTGTTGTCACAACACAATCGGTTTGAATGAAAAAAAAAAAAAACGATCGATTTTTTACGGTTCTACCGCGATCGGCCATTATCGACGTTTGCCCGATAAAACGGCGATGTGCGTGCACTCCCTCAATTACTGGGCGAAATTAACACAATGATAAGGTGGGGTGAGGTGGGTTATATACGTCAAACGCTTTGAAAAACAGCTGCAGGGTATCCGGCATTTTACATTGTATACCATCCCTCGATCCGTAAACCGTGATTGACAGAGCAAACGGGCAGGCGGTCACAGTACTGTATTTGTCGGATTCGCCAATAGGGTTTAGCGGAAAATCGTTCGCGATATCGCGGGATTTATAAAAACTTCAATTTTTATCGTCGAATTCAAAAAATACGGTATGTAGAAAGGAGGAGGTTTATTGAAAAACGGTATAACAAATATATTACCGTGATATAAGATACTTTTGATCATGGTGGGGAGAGCTGAGGGCCCCCTCCTGAAATGACGGAAAATCTAAATTTATCGTTTCAAACACAGTCCGACATTATAATAAACTGCAGCAATGTGTTCGATGTAACTGATCAGCTCATCCCCTTCAAAAAAAAAAAAAAAACCCCGGATACGACGCTGTTATCGATAAAACTAAAACGGTAGAATGTTGTTCGTATGACCGCAGGGGAGGGAATAAAATTCGCAAAGTTCGCGGTGACGGTACAGATTATTATACATTTGTGTACATAATATTATATTCTATAACCAAAAATTTAAATATCAGCTGCAAATATTGTACAAATACGCTATAGCTATACAATACGACTGCAGACCAAAAAAAAAAAAAAACATTTTTATACGCCGGGGAATTAGACAATTTTCAAAAAAAAAAAAAAAACCAGCTACTCGGGAGTCAAACTATATATTACTATCCTAAATGCAAACATTTATTTATGATTTATTAAATGAGCTTAATAAATTATAACGTCGGACACGTTGACGTTAATCTCATTAGCGCCTTTTTTTTTCGAACTCACAATGTGTGTGCAACTATACACAGTACCCGTATACCTATAGTATAATATAATCCTAATTATAATTTTTTTATAATTTTTGGTATTTAAATTTTGTGCGAAATCAAGTACATGAATTATTGTGACGTAGAATATTACGGGAGAAACCCATAGTAAAAAAAAAAAAATAATAAAAAGAAAGCGGGACACACGCCAAGCCACTGCAGGATTACCTGCAGCATTAGCTACTGGTATTAGTCGTGTTTTTCCCCCATTGTAGCCAAAATGTAACCCAGAAATAAACAAAAATAAAATCATGACAGATCGTCATATTTTGTTGTCAGTTTATTTTTTCGATTTTCAAGAAAAACTATGGTGAATCTATGAAAAAAAAAAAAGTTTAAATAAAATACCAGAAACTCCAAATCATTTATGGTATACTACGTGAACAATTTTCAATGATTTTTAATAACCAAATGTATTTTTCAAATTAAAAAAAAACACATCTTAGAGAAACTGTAAGTGGTTAATTAACTCGGAATATAAACACGTTAAGAGCTTATTGATTGTATCCTATAAGACACATTAAAATAACTACACCTACTCTATTTATAGATTTTTGTATACGATACGAGAAAGGGATGATCCGAAACTAATTTAGGAGAAAACGACAGTTGGTAAAGCGGGGAAAGTATCGTTTCAAGAGGTGCCGTTGTCGATTTTACATATTAAAGTACACTAAATGCTCTCTCTCGGGCTATACAACACAACAACAGCCCCTACATATTTAGACCGTGCCACTCGAAAACCGACCGATACCGATGCGACCGACTGCGCACAATATAATTATGTATATTTTATTTTGAAAAAAAGGCTGATATTGTTGATGGGTGTGTCACTGTTTTAAAAGACAAGTCGGAAAGGAGAATAATATATATAGAATGATTTAATTTACATCTGCACTCAACGGGCAAACGAAAAATGATTCTAAGCAGAATGTTATTAATCGTATTGCTGTCAACACGATAACACAGAAATCGACCAAAATTATGAAAACATTTTAAAGATTCTCTACGGACTTCGTTTGATGTAAGCAACGTTTTTGTAAAATAAGTTGTTCGTGTATTAAAATCCGGAAGAAGAAAGACTCGCGCCGAAAAATTGCAGATTTGCCGGTTACTCTTCGATACGGTTTTGTCAGGTTAGGGCATAATCATTACGTAAAATACAGTCATCGAAACGGAGGAAAACCCCCTCCGACGTCGCGTTAAGGCTCGTCGAGCCGCTCTTATTTGCGATTCCGAAACAGCCGACGCTCGGAAAAAAACGTGTTTTACGAAAATGCTGTTCGCGTCCTAGAAAGCATTGTAGCAGACTGCAATCTGCGAAAACGGACGCGCACGGGAAAATTCGCAAGAGGCCGCGGTCGGGACCGTGTTCGGGGGACGGCTTTAATTTTTACAAAGATATAGAAAAATAACGTATAATACCGGCCGGCTCGTTCGGTATGACGTTTTCTTTTCGGCCTTTATGCGAATATTGTAGTTTTTCGACGGAAAATTCCTGTTAAACAACGACTCTATACCGCTCGGTCGCATCGCCAGCTCGTACGCGCACCCGACAATGTTACAATAATATTACATATATGTACGTTAAACGACGGCGATTTCGCGACCCCGCCGGCTCCGACTTTGTCTGCGCGTGTACCGACGCCCCCGCTAAATAATATATCGTACGCGTTTTATACGCGCACGTAAACGCAAATTCCGGCGGCCGCAAAAGCGGTTCGGGTCCGCACAAAGCCCTTTTGTATTGTGTGTACGGACTTAAACCCCCGACCGCGGGAGGGCCGCCGGAAGCCGAGGGGACATCCCGTCGCGCCGAAAGCTCGTTAATAACGCACCTATCACGACGCACTTTACGCCGACGCCGGCGCTGCGCGGCCCCTCCGTCCGGGGTTTTAAGTCGCCGTGATTCAGTCGGCCGCCGCGCGTTTTATTTATTTATGTTTCGCCGCGGCGGAGAGAGGATATTATAATAATATAGTATTATATTCACGGTTTATATAAAGATTTTTCGCGGGAAAAAAAAAGAAGAAAGAAAAACGATAATAAAAAACGCCGTCGCGGTATAGTGTCTGACTGTGTATATATTATTACACGAGACCGTGTACCGTTTTTATATATATATATACACGCGCGATGTCGTGTGTATAGACGTACACAGACTCCGCGGGAAACTGTCGTCTGTGCGTCGTGGAATTATCACCCCATCTGGGGAAGGCCTCGGGTCGTCAAACGTCGTGAAATCGACGACACAATAGGATATATACAATTGTGCGTTAGTGGATTTTTTTTATTTTTTATTTTTTTTATTTTTTTATGTACGCCGATTTCTTTACAGAAAACCTCGCTCCAAACGAAAAACGACGAAAGAGCTTTTTTCGTAGAATTTCCGATCAATACGCGTCGAGATCGTTTTTTCGAATTTTTCTCGGATATTGATTAAACAATCGGGTCAAACGGGGAATCCGATTAAATCTAATTGGAAAGAATTCAAATGTCGTCACCGCTGTATTCAACGTTTTCAATTTAGTCGACGTGTAACGGGAGGTCGTTTAATTCGGCGAAAAAGGAAATAAACGCGGCCGATAGTATTGCGTCGCTCAGAATCGCTTACCGTCGCGTACACATGTGAAAATCACACGAATCCCAATGACTTCGTACCTAACTTGACCATCCGACTTTGCCCCCGCGGTATACGCCCCGGCCGTTTCGGAATATCTCACGACCCGCGTCGTACGAAATCAACGCCGTAGACACGCTTTTCCGACCCGGGGCTCCCGGGTCGGACTCCGAGGATTCATCGGCATCGACAAAACGCGCTTTATGAGGAGAAAAAAAATCGTAATCGTTAGGAATTTCGTATACGTACCTATGACCGCGGGAAAGACCGAATAACGTCCGTACGGGACGTGCACGGGTCTCGAAAACTGGACGCGTGTTAATATATACCGCACGTTTTTTATTGACGCTTCAAGGGCAACGTCGTAGATTTATTATTCCTATGACGACAACGCGGTTGCATAATATTATAAACTAACAAGATGTACGACACTGCAGCGGATTGCGGTATACACACACACACACACACACACACACACACACACTGAAATTAGTCGGAGCTGCAGCGGAGTATAGATTCTTTTTTTTTTACCAGCGGCCGCTGCGATATAGTACCGCCCGAGAAACGTATATACGTATACCAAATACGTCCGTTATGAAAGACTATGAAAAACTTACTCGGAAGACTACGGGGGGAAAAAAAAAAATAGAAGAAAACGTCATGCATACGCTTACATAGGCGATATTATAATACGGACCGCTTTATATATATATATATATTTTAAACGAATGCAAATATTATTCAGTCGAGGTTATACGGCCGCGATATTATATTATTATATTATCGTGTATAATGATAGTATATAGTAAATATAATAATTATAACGTCCGCGGTAATAGGAATGAAATTAGAAAAAATTACGACGTTCGCGTTTGTAAAATAATCGCGTTAGTTATATTTATACGCGTTTCGACATATTTCTACAATATTGTTGCCGTCGCAGTTTTGTATGTACGGACGAAATCATCGCGCCTCTCCCCCCCTAAAACGGAAAAAACGACTCCGTTCAGTAAAAACGAAACTACATTTTTTACAAAACGAAATTCACTATTATGTACGGAACAATAAAGGCGATTAAAATTTCAATACACGATCAATGAAAGTTTATAATATTGGTATTTTTTTTTTTTTTAAGCCTATAATATATTCGTTCAATTAGTCGCGTATACATAAGATATTGGTTTTATGGAAACGATATCTACCCGGGCGAAACCGAATATGAATAACTAAACGAGATTCGCGTTAACGAATGCACTTCACCGCATTTGCCACGGTTTTGATCTCAAATTTACCGTTTTAATGATTACATTTTATTAAATCTTCCATTTTCAATTCCAAACCTTGTCGAACCGTTTGTAAAAAAAAAAAAAAAAAAAGTTAGTGTATTCTTATCGTCTCGCTAACTTTTAGTGACTGCTGTAAAGTAATTAAAACTGTTATACAAGTATAGTATTAAGGTATACTTATTAAAATAAAGAAACAAAACTAATTCTCTGTTGTTTAAATAGTTCTCGTAAAAAAAAATAAAAAAAAAAATCGACCGGTCGAATCGGTGGAATTCGTGTTTACGAAATTTCCATTTGTGTAAAAAAAAAGTTGGAAACATTTTTTTTTTTTCAACGACATCGGATTACATAAACTACGCGCTACATAGTATTATACGTTTAGTCGGATGTAGGTCACATTTCATTTTTAATTAACTTTAAATTGCAGAAAAATTTAACACTGTTAATTATTATAAAGTAACGTTATACCGGAACAATAACAAGTATACACATCATATTATAACGCGCTGCAGTGTCCACACGGTATAAACATAATGTTATTATACTTTCACGTGTATATATGAAATGTATAGTTATATAGTTCGCCGTAAAAAAAAAAAAAATTGTAATATATTTTAAGTCACGACAAATTTTAATACGCGAGTATATTATTATACACCTATATATATACTCACTCGTTGAACGCGTATGCCGAAACACGAATCCGAATTAGGGGTCCGAAAAACTCGAAGAAAAGGAAGTCGACACCCGAAACTCGATAAGAGCCGTACAATAACGTAGTGGTGATTCGATCGCGAGACGACGGAAAACGTGAAAAAAAAAAATGTTTCGATTTCGAGACGCCGCCGCGCCGTTCGGAAACAGACCGAATGAAAAACAGCCCCCGCCTCCGTTGGTTGTCTTTGGACGCGCGCGCCTCGCGCTCCTCCCTTCCCCCCAACCGGGGCTCACTAAAATAACGGACGGAGGCGGCATAACGATATTATCGCGTACGACATGAAAAATAATAATCAAAAGAAAAACACGCATAATTTTATGAAAGGTTCGTTTTTTTTTTTTTTTATATAATCGCACGGGAATCGAATAAACGGTACAATACAGTCGGTACGCGGTTGTAACACATTGTAACGTTATAGACAGGCCGGTAATAGTTAGGTGGCTGTATTATTATTACCGGTATACGCGTTATGTTTGTTTAGAGCGGTTTCGTTTTTTTTTTTTTTTTTTCACACCGGCGGTATACACATTATGATATACGCTTTCCAGACGCGACGGTGATCTATGATGCGCTTACATATATTTTATATTAATTTCAGGGCGATAACAAATAATTTTATACAGGTACGATTATTATATATCATACACGGTATAATATAGCTGCGTTTATATTATCATTATCACATACAATAACGAAACGGCGATATTTACGACCGGTATTTATGCGCGGAAAATATATATATATATATAAGCATACGACCTCTATATGCCTATTTCGCAGCGATTTTTGCACCGCGATTTATCGTGTATAATATGTACGGGTATCGAATGTCGCCGCGGCGTCTATACGTTTAATTATTATCATGTTACCGTATCCCTACGACGGGACGACCGTACGAAAGTTTACGATTTTCCGGAAGAAAAAAACCGGCGTTTTCCGGTGAGTCTATAATACATGATGGGATATTGTTCGGCCGATCGCCGTGCAGGACGTTCTCGAAGCGAATGATAATTATTGCGGTATTCCCGTAGGCGATCGGATTATATTAATTTTCACGGACAGGGCGAACGCGCGCTAAATAGCTGGGCCCGAGTCAATCGAGTCGAGTGTGCCGGGACAACGGCGGGCGAATGTCGAATTAATAAAAACAAATTACACGTACACGGGCCGCACAGTTATACGCCTGTACGCTGTTATATTACGCGGGCGTACACTGCGAACCAGACAGTCCGTCGTGGCGAAACGTTAAAACACACGGCGGTCCGTTAGGTTACACGCATACTCACGTATCGCACCGTAGTGGAAGAATATTACGCGCGAGCGGCGAGAAAACCGGTTCTCGGACATCGCGCGCGATTGAGCCATCAAAAGACGCACGAAAACCCTTCGCGTGTGCATCCGCCGCCTCCGCCGCCACTGCCGCCGCCGCTGCCGCCGCCGATACAGGTACTGCTCTCGAAACTCACCGTGTCCAATCGTCCCTCTAGCGCAGTGGCGTAGAGAGCGCGTTCGCGGACCGGTCCGCGCGTAACATCCGTGACGCGTTACTATTATTATTGTAATGACTATTACGGTGCCCGTATTGTTTCGGCCGGCGAAGGGTTCGGGGCGACGTTTTTCCCGTAGCCGTTGCCGCGCGCGGAGAAAACACGACGCCGAAACTCGGACGGGGAACAGTATGTACCGGTGCGCGTCGATGTAAAACCGCGAGACGAAAACGCGGGGCGTATACGACGCGGGAAAGAGAGAGGAAGAGAGAGAGAGAGAAAGAGAGAGAGCGAGAGAGAGAGAAAAAACGAAAAACGACGAACGGTACACCTACGCGAACAGCAATACGAGCAACAATAATGTTACAGCGAAAACGCGACGGAGTCGAGCGCACCGTCACCGTCGTACATCGGACGCGTATTGAAACGCCGGCCGCGCGTATACGCGACTAGTATGTGCGCGCGCGTAATTTTTTTTTTTTTTTCTCTCCCCGTTCCCGACCCCACGCCGACGTCGTTCGCGCGGAAACATCGCGGTCGCGGCGTACGCGCGCCGCGCTCGTCGTCGTCATAGCGCGCGCTACCGTTTCGCCCGACACACTGTATACGATACGATACGCGTACGCGTCTGCCGTATACTGCGTGCGTGTGTGCGTGCGTGCGTGTGTGTGTGTGTGTGTGCGTGCGCGCACGAGTACATAGTACACCCCGTATATACGCGTGTGTATAATAGAGGCGGCGGTATAAATACGAATCGTATACGGTATTATTTCTCGTTGTACACGAGCCCGTTCGTCGGATATATGGTTTCTCCCTTGTTTACTCACCACCGCGCGACGACGACGCCTTCCGCCCGCCATTCATAAAAAAAAAAATACACAATATATCGCGACGGGTTTCTCCTACAGGACGCGCCGCGATACACGAGAACGGTCCCCGACCCCCCCCCCACTTCCCCACGAAAACCGGCCCTTTCTCCTGCGCGGTTCCGCGTAATATACACGCGATGTACCGGGTGACACGCCGTTGCAGGGGTAGGTAGAGAGTTTACGGGTTATATCGCCATACCCCCCCTTCCCCCTCTCATACGTCAGGCGTTTCAATACGGCGGCTATGCCTATATACGGGTATATTTGTTTAGAGCGAACGTTTCGCTATAATATGCGGAATTATATACGCGCGTTTCGGTCTGCGGTCGCGAGGAAAACGCTCATCGGGTCGAAAATCCGGATCCGACAATTCGCCCGACGTCGTTGTCGAATGTCGGAGTCGGGTAAACAGAATTTGCCCGTCGTAAATATCGGTCGACATTTCTCGGGCGCGCCACTGACTGTTCACATTACACGGACGGCATAGGTAAAACGTGGATAGCTTCATTCGATAGAGACCGAAAATCCCATACTATTTCTGCAGGTTTGTGTTACAGGCTTAAACTCGCACGGTGTTCAAAGGTGATACCGTGGAAAACGCGAAATTTTACAAAACGTGACGCATACCGTTTTTCGCGTACACCGTGTTTGCCGGTCGGGGTTAAAACAAATATCCGTCCGAACGGGTGTAATAGTAAAATGATCGTGTAGTATTATTTTTGTTTAGGTACACTCGGGAGACGGCCGCCAACAATGTGTTCTCGCAGTACACTATATACGGTATTTTTTTTTTTTTTTTGTCATTTTTTTAAACATAATATTTCGTTTTTTACTATTTTTTACGAGCGGTAAACACGCGATATCGTTACGTCGGACGCGCTTCAATATAACCGTCTGGTTAACGCGCGCGAGTACACCGGGCTGTAATAAGGTAATATTACCTATAGGTGCACCTATCCGCGCAAAGGCCAAGCGTGTAATTTTTTGCACGTAATTACGTGTATGAAACTAACAATATCGGCGTGAAAAAGCGCTGCTATAATATAACAATCAATCTACTGCAGGCAACGGTTTCGACAAGACATTTTCGGCGAGACGTTTTGACGCGTATATTCACGAGAGTGTAATAATATAATAATGTGTGTACGCGCGAGAAACAAAATAATCGTGATTTTTCTCTTGCGTATTATCGCTGTTGCAGTTGTTATTTATTATTATTATTATTTTTTTTTTGTTTTTGCTACACCGGACGCGCATTTCTCTTGGCCAAATAATAACCGTCTGGTCTGGTTTTTTTATTTCCGACGATTCGCCGGCCAAACGTACTTGGCACTGATTACCGTATTTTACGAGCGTAAAACATCATACGCGCGCACCGCTCGGGACGATTTCTCGCGGTGCACGTCCGACGTTTCCACGAGTGTGTAAATAGGTATTTCGCGCTCCGTACGCATCGTAGGAGCCCGTATGTGAAATTTCGAGGGGTAGTGGAGGGTAAAATACAAAATTAAAAACGTACGCCGAATAAAAATTCAACGTTATTTCAAACGTACAAACGTAAAAAGAGCTGGTATTTATTTCAGTAGGGGGGAGGGTCCGTGGACAAATACCCCGTCTAGCCGTCCTCATTCGAAGGCGTCCGTGTCCGTTTTGTTCAGTGTTTCCCGGTGGGGAGGAATTCAGATACCGCGTGGAGGGTTACTATATGTAAAATATGCAAATTTACCATATTATCAACTAAAACCAAAAACAAATAAGTTCATATTTGTAATTAATGTCTGACCGGCGCGAGATATTTGAACTATCTACAAGAGGGGCGTAAAATAAAAAAAGGCCGGGGAACGTCGGTATATATCGTTATTGCATGGGCGACACAAGTAAAAATATTATTTATCGGTACGCGAGTCGCGGGTCGAAAAAGGGAAAACGGGAGCTCCGGAGAAAGATTTTTTTTTTTTTTTCTGAAAATAATCGAGACGAAAATTTTCCACGCGCGTTTCGATATGATTTTTTTCTTTTCGGTGTATTATCTAGATTCTAAAATAATATAGCCGCGCAAATGCAAAAACCGATCGACGTTTTTCGCGAAATCAATCTCGAAACGATATTAGTACTATATACCATCAGCGTATATCACCGGGTGATATGCGTGGATATAGTGGCAACAGCGCAGCAAAAATGCGCAGGGAAATTTAATTTTTATTCCGCGATGAAATCGAAACGTATATAATTAAAAACGGGTATGTACCTACTGCATAGAAACATATTTTGTTGGTCACACGATACGCGCGCTTATCGAACGCGCGTGTATAAAGTATAATATAATGTAATTTAATTATAATGTTATTTTACATGGTTTTTTTTTCGTTTTTATTATTATACGCAGTTAAGGAAAATTCTGTTCACGCGCTTTCGTGACGAATGAAAAAAAAAACCCCCCGCAAAAATAAAATACGGGGAGATCGATGGAATGGCGCGTGATTAAAAAAAATCGTCCAACCGGTAGCGCTACAATTTTACCGGGACATTACAATAAATACGTGTAGTTTATTGCAAATATCGTAATTTTTCAAAATTAATTTCGTTTAAAATTTCATAGCTATAATATAGTACTAATTGGTTTCAGAAAAATATATGCACCTATGTGAAATATTTTAAAAGTAATTACTGATAGCTGAAGCTTATTTTCGTCCCTCCGTGTATACTAACTAACAGCGTTTCTCTAAACGTATTTATTTTATTTATTTTTAATATTCTTCTCACCACGAGCCGCCGCTTGCCGACTTCCAAAAACGTGATCAACTTATTGTTAATGATAACATTATTATTTATAAATATACAAAAAAAAAAAATAGAGAAATTATTCATTTTATCGGCGTTTAAATTAAATTATTTTCATTGAATATTGTGAACTAGATAGTTGAAATTCGCGTGTTGCAGGGAAGCTCCCCCCGGACATAAAATGATGATGTCACGCGCTTCTAATTCCGGCTTTACGGATGGCATCATGATTGACATTTGCAAAAATTCTATACACATATATTCGGTTTAGCGATGTATACAATACATTAGGTGCAGGTTGTAACGCGATTGCGTTGACGGGTGTGAAAATAAAATCTAAAAATCTCCTATATACGTGCAAACTAAACTGCGAAAAAACAAAACGAAAAAATCCTCCGTATATTGGTGTATAGTTTTAAAACTTCCCGAACGGTTGGGAAAAAAAAAATCAAAACAAGAAACTTTACCGTCCGTTTTTAGGTACAGATAAATAATGCAACGGTTTCGTGATTCGGTCGGTGCAGCGGTGTCGGCGTGATGCTCTTGAGCCAAAAACTTTCTAATAAAACATATATACTTATATAACTATATCACTTGTATATATATATATATATATATGTATGTATACAAACGAATTTGGAGTGCATTCGTATTGTTTTATAAATTACATTTCTTTATCGTTTCGGAACTTTCTATACAAGAGGTTTTTCCGCGTTTTAAACTATGTCTCGAGCGCTTAAAAATATTATTTAACCTCCACCCGCCCTTCCCGTCGTTCGAATTCGAATTTTAGATTTCCAGGCAAGTATTCGAAATATCGATATAAATCCCTCCCCCCCCCGGTTACCAATACTCACAAAAACGCATTTGTACAGTTGTGTTGCTAGGTATATATATACCTAGGTATATGTATACACGCATATATATATATATATATATATATATATATAATGTATACCTATTATAGATATATATATTACACTGAACGCACATTACTAATACGTTTTCCGTTCCGCCTATATTAATCTCAGGGTGAAGCACATCGTCGTCGTCTTTGTGTTGTTATATTATACACGATGGGGTTCTTGGATAGCGCCCATTAACGATACGTATATATAGGAGTTATGCCCTATTACTACGACAACACGAGGTGTACGCTAATAGTATTAATTCTATTATGTTGGAGCCATATCAAAACACAGTACCTTTGCTTTTTTTTTCGATTTAATACGCTAAACCCCCCCAACACAATAATATAATATTTTATTACGCCGACATATTCGTTTTCAATGAAAAAACGATTTGTATTTACCTATAATGGCGTACGTGATACCGCCGGCCGCATTCGCTGTTTCGGTCCTGCGGGAGACGTAAAATGATACGGCGAAATTACACGTGCCTACAACCTGCAGGATTATTAAATTTGTGACGTTCTGCTTGAAATCGTAGAGTTAAAAACGCGGGTAATAATAGGTTTTTTATTACTTCTTTTAGATAGGAAAACAGACTTTAGAGGTACAACACCAAGAATTTTCACCCCCTAGAATATAGTCGAAATAAAAACTACGGCTATTAAAAAAAAAAAAAAAAAAAATTCTGAGGTATTTTTTCCCTCGTGGCCCAAAGGTTACACAAAAATCGATAGAAATTATACACGAAAAATCGGTCGATATTTCCCACATTGATTGAGAAAACTGCATGGAAAATACAAACGACCTCTTCGACGCACAAACTGATGCAACTATACAGAAAATGTTACGAGCAAGCGGATGTACAGTAAAACCGATAGACTTGTCGGTTCGTTCGGAATCCAAAAAAAAATACACAACACGTCTGTGCAGCAATTCGGTTTCGTTCGACAGCGAATTTATGAGAAGGGGGAGGGGGTTGGGAGGGGATAAAACAATTCTACGAGTCGCGCGCGAATCAATACGGTCCGACTGAGATGAAGGTATAAATACACGCGCGGATATCGCGACGCCGCCGACGAAGAACACCGAAAGTAAAATTGACAGCGAGAGGCGCGCAGTTTTTAGATTCGTCCGGCCCGCCCGGCTGCCGCCGCGAACGTGAGAACCCGTCTCCCCGTAATTTAAACGTTTCGATTCAGACACCGTCGCCCGTGCGCGGTGTATTTTTTAATATACAACACGTTCTCGCTGCCGCCGCGTTAATTCGATTAATTATTTATGAACGGGACGCGACACTTCCTTATTCGCCGCACCGGTGCAGTGTCACACATTCGTTCGTGGACCGGACGCGCATTTATACGACTCGTTTAACGCGGGACGCGGGCTGCGACAAACCTAATAACGAGGTGCGCAGTCGTCCGATTCCGCCGAGATTTCTAATTGCGCGCGCGAGAATAAATATTGTGTACACGCGTCGTCGTCTCGTTATACGGATGGGACACAAAAAAAAAAAAAAAAAAAAAAAAAATAAAAAAAAAAAATAACGATAATGATAATATTATATGCTTACTGCGGAAACGTACTGCTACCCCCGCGAGGGTTTTCCTCCTTTGCAGTGTCTTCCGGTCGGAAAAACTCGGAAATATATTTGCGTACGGCGAATATGCACTTGCCCCGGAGCGTTGACCAACGACGGCCGGGACGGACGCGACGCGCGTCTGTTGCGACGGTAGCGGCGGCGACGTTCGTACGTCTGGACGCTGACGGACGGACGGACGAAGACTGCGCGGCGGCGGCGGCGGCAGCGGCAGCGACGGGAAATCCCGCGGAAACATACTATTACCGCGGACGACGGTCACCGGTGTTATGACGCCGCGGCGGCGGACCGAGACGAGAAGACGAAGATGACACCCAGCCCACCACCCCTCCCACCCCCCCACGAGCGCGCGCCGCGACCCCGGCAACGACCTGCCAATCAATGTTCGTTTCGTCGCTATTGAACGGCGCGAGAAGAATGCGAACCGAAACATAATGAAAACACCGTATAGACGCGCGGCGTAAAACGCGAGAACAACGACGGCCGCGACGACGACGACGACGATGACGACGACGACGAAGACGACGGACGACGACGACGACGAGTAGAATAGAAGACCGCGCGGCGGCGTCTTGGGGCCCCGTCTGCCAGGTGTCGCGTCCACCCACGCGCGGGGGTCGGGCCTTGACGACGACGACGCCAACACAATGGAACCGGCCGCCCCGGGTACGCGTCGTGTTATTGTTGTATACGTACGCGCGTTTATACGTAGCGTACGTAAGACCGCGCGATGAGCGAACCCGCGCACGACGACGATAATAATAATAATACATAAACGAAGATTTTTATTATTATTGTTATATTCGTCCATTCATCACCGTCGCGGTGTTCCGCGGAAAGAAGGTAGAGGAGGGGAGGGAGGGAGGG